GGCGGCGGCGGCGGCGGCGGCGTTGGTGGCGTTGGCGGCGTTGGCGGCGGCGTTGGCGTTGGCGGCGTTGGCGGCGGCGGCGGCGAGGAGGGCGGCGGGCGGTGCGGTGTTCTCCTGCCGAGCCCGGAGCTGCTGAGGCGAGCGAAGGAGGCGTTTGTGAGCTGGCCGGTGCAGTCGTCGCAGATGCAGCGGCAGGTGGGGGAGGCGCTCGCGCTGATGGGTCTCTCGCCGCATGAGGAGGTGCTCGTCGAGAACGGCTACTCGCTCGACTTTGTCGTCGAGTGGCGCGGCCAGCGGCTCGGCGTCGAAGTCAGCGGCCCCGACCACTTCATCGGCTCCTCGCCCTGCGGGGCGCACTTGCTCAAGCAGAGGCAGATGCGGCGGCTCGGCTGGCGCGTCGCCGACGTGCCGTACTGGGAGTGGGTCGAGGCAACCCGTGGCGGGGAGCGGCAGAGGCGGACGGCCTACCTCGCGGCCGTGCTCGAGGCGGCGACCGCGTCGGTTGTCGGCGAGCAGACGGAGACCAGAGACAGAGGCGAGAGGGGCGTGGGAGGCGAGCTGAGCGAGAGCCGAGAGGTGAGCGGGTGAGCTCGTTGCTTGTGAATCCACTTGAATGTGTGTCTCCAACAAAAGTCTGTGTAAAGGGTGTGGACCGTGTGTGACGGAAATCGGAGGACGCGACCCACTTCGCCACAGACGGTCCCGCGCCTCGCCGCTATGACGGCGCCACCGCGACCGCAGCTCGTGTGCCGCGTGTGCGGCCGTCCTCTTTGACGGTCGCCGGAGTGAATACTCCAACCAACGCGCTCGTCGGTGGCGGCTTCCTCCAACCTGCGCCGCGCTCGGCGAACCTCGACAGCGCCGATAGAGCGGTGGCATGCAGCTCCTTGCGCCTGAAGCCTGGAGAGCAGCTCCTCTGAGACTGCTCACACGCAGCTGCACAGATGGCACGCAGCCCACTGTGCGGCTGCCACAGCTGTGACAGCGATGGGCTCGCCCTCACTGGCCCTCAGTCACTTGTGCTGCGGCTTGTGTGAGTAGTGAGAGCGACACTGCTCGGCGACTGCCGGCACACTGTGAGACCATGGGTGTGAGGTAAAACCACGCTACCAGCGCTTGGTCACATCTCCCACAGCCCTGATGTGAGGTCAGACAGATCCTTGCCTTCCACTTCTCCTCTGTTGTGTGTTGATGGTAACACTTGTCTACTCGCTGGAGCCGAGCAGGAGGGCCCGGCGCACAACCCCTGGTCAACTCTACACAACTCACGGTCCACACGGGGCGTACTTGACATATGACGTTATGACCCCAAAACGCGCGAAATCCGAAATTGACTGACGGGTTGACGCGTGTAGACTTCCGCAGGGCCGTTGACCAGACCTGGAGCCTGACCATGAGCCAAGGGTGTATCTGCGACATTCTTCCGGCGCCTGCGACAAGCCCGCACTACGTACTCGGTGCCCGTGTAATCGGTGGACTCCTTTCCCTCATGATCACGCTGTCCTGTGTTGCCTATCGCATGAAAGCTGACACGCAACGGCAACAGGGCAAGTCTCACATGGACGAGGGCCTGGAAAAGAGCCTGCGCCAGATGCTCGGCATCTGTGCTGCCGCCAGCTCCTTCATCGGCATGAGTGCAATGCGCGCTCTAGCTGTTACGCTGTCGCCGGACACGTGCCTCCCCACGTTGGCGTGCGCGTTGCTCATCATCGTGCCATGCCTCATCGGATGCTTCTTTTACCAAGGTGCGCCGTGGATCTCGGCTGTCAATGGCACCAACGAGTATGACCGCATGGACGATGAAGAGAAAGGGTGGCCGCGCGACGGCGGTGCAGCCCTGCCGACAAGCTCGATATCTGGCGACAAGCAGCAGCAGCAGCAGCAGCCACCTTCTCATTCGGGCAAGGCCCTTGCAGAGCGCGAGCTGTGGGCCGCAAAGGCAATCCAACGCGCCGTTCGCACGTACCTTCGCGGCATTGGCACGCGCGCGGTCGTCTCGCGCGCACGGACGTCCCGCTTTTCAGCCCTCACCAACCCGATGGGGCGCTCGTCGGCAGCTTCGCCGGGCAGGACCTCGGCTGCGGAAGAGCACAAGCGCTCTGCGTCTATTCTCTCCTACTCTCGGCCCTTTCTCATCTCCTTCCTCCTCTCAGCCTTCAACTCGATCTCGCTTACCAGCGCGGCAATCGCACAACCAGCTGTGAGGCTTGTCGGCCCATGCAAGATCACCGACGGAGGTGCGTGTGCCACATCGCCAAATTATCCAGATGACTATGGCAACAACGAACGATGCACCCTCATCAATGTCCCCGCTACACCACTCGAGGTGCTGTGGTTTGACGTCGATCAGGCTACTCCTTGTTCGGACTACCTCACGATCAACGGGACTCAGTATTGTGACTCTGAGCCGGCGGGCATGGTTGCAGAGGACGGTATCATCACCTGGCACTCGGATCCTTCCGGGGTCAAGCAAGGGTGGAAAGTGTGCTGGGCTGCGCCACGACCAACAACCGGATTTGTCGACCCACGCGACTCAGCATTCATGGAGCTCGATGTTGATGGGGACGGCACGGTGACGCTGGAAGAGATGGGATTTCCTGGCATCCACCGGCTCAATCAGACCGCTTTAGCTACATCAGGCCATCCACGTCGCCGGATGATTGTCCCCATCTTGGTTCTTGTCGGAGAAGCTGTCTTGGCATCTGCGGGCGTTGTCGGGGCCAGCGAGGCTACAGCCCTGGCTGTCGGCGGCCTTGCAGTCGGTGCTTCGATTTATTATGTAGCCGCCCGCGGCCACTTTCTTGAAGGCGTCCGGCAACTCAACCGGGACTACAATGCCCTTTCCAAAAGCGACGCGTGCCAAAATTCCTGCGGACGGGCCACTTGCGAAGTGATGTCAGATGAGAAATCGGGCCTCTCCTGCTCCGATCTCTCAACGCTTGGCTGCGACTGCTACGGTTGCTGCGACCTCGAGCTTGACCACAGCACCGGGATCGTCACTTATGACGCCAACGCCTTCTACTGCGACTGCAAGTGGACGTCAAAGTACGCCTGCCCAGGCGTTCCGGGATCCGTGGCTTACGCGAAGGACGACGGCTCTGCCTGCTTCAAGTTCTGCTGCGAGGGTGCTACGCATGCTGATGGCACGGACAGGCAGCATGAGGATGTAGCTTACTTGAAGGAGACGGTGCTTCCAGCAGCAAACAACACCCAGGCCACCGAGCGCCTCGCTACTGGCCCAGCCATGGCCGCAGCAGCCCTCCGTCTGGTAGGGGTTGTGGGCTTGGCCGCAGCAGCCCTCCGTCTGGTAGAGTTTGTGGGCTTCTTGTACATGTCGACTCGTCGTCGCGCAGCAAGTTGCGAAATGATGTGATTACATTACCCAAGCAGTGCCAAGACACGGGTGCGCAGGCGGGTCTCGCTTTTTCACCCTCGGCCCTTTCTGCACGTGTATCTATCTAGCCCTGATCTCTCTCTCGCGTTTGTAGAATTCCAGTTGTTACTACGATGAGACGCGCGCTCTCTCTGCTGTCTGCTATCTCGCGGTGGCAAGCGCGGTGGAACACACACAGGTCATCGCACCACCGAGTAGAAGAGCCCCGCGAGGCCGAATCGGACTGCAAAGGTGGCCGCCGCGCAGAGCGCTTTTGGAAGGCGAGCATGCGGGTGCACAGCACGTCCTCGCGGCACGGCCCCATCCAGTAGAGGCTCAACCGGTTGATGAGGGTGAGGTTGGAGACGCGTGTGACGCCGCTCTCGTCGGGCGGGAGGACCTTGGCGAGGCGGAAGGTGCGGAGCAGCCACAGCGTGGCGCGGCCGGGCCGGCTCAGTCCGCCTCGACGAGAGTGGCATAGCTGTTCGAGACACCAGCCCGGTGCGCGCGTCGAGAAGGCGGGCATGCGCGAAATCCGAAAATGACGCGTGGTGTAGACTTGCGTGTAGCATCCTCACATCAACCCCGTACAAGCTACAACTACGGGTTAACAGTGGTAACATCAGAGCACAACATCTTCGCGAGACGTACGAGCTGCTTATACACGGCAGCCGGCGCGCAGCCGCCTGGCCACTCTAAGCTGACCACAGACTAGAGCCTCTAGTAGAGCGGTAGAGCGTGGCGCGGCGCGAGCAGGGTCGCCAAATCGCCCGCGCTGCACGCCGCCTCACGGCGAGTCGTACTCGTCCTCGCCGCTGAGCCGGCTCGCGTTCTTCTTGTTTGCGCGGCGGGCGAGCAGCCCGGGCCGGGAGGAGCGCGCGGCGGGGCCGGCGGAGGTGCGCGGCAGAAGCAGCTCGTTGAGCGAGTCCTCGCGCTTGCCTGTTCAGGCGCGAAGCTGTGAGGAGACGCCGCTCACAGCTCGCTGCGGGGCGGCCCGGCCCCCAGCTCTCCGGCGTCGAGGTTCGTGTCGTGCGACGCGTAGGGCGGAGGCAGGAAGGGGTTGTCGTCGACTGCAGACATCTGGAGAGGGAGGGGAGGGGAGGGTGTGGGTGTGGGCCGTCTCGCGGGGGGGGGGGGGGGGGGGA